ACAAGATATCTATGAAATTATACATTGTCACAGTTACTTTACAGACATGCATCCTAGTTGTTCCTCAAAGATCATTTTCACAAACAAACATGTCAGATATTGAGAAAAATTTGTTGGAATTGACACTTAGGTGTGCTGCTAAAACACATGGAAAACATTCAGAACAATCAAATATATTAGGCTTTGGTACTTCAGTTCTTCATATGCAACCATACGTGGAAATGGTATACCCTGCCTGTATCAAGTTCTAATTTCAAAGAATTACTACTCTTCAATCTCAAGATCTTTTCATAGATGCTAATATATATATATATTAATTTGCTTATTTTTACTTTTACAAGTCAGAATCTTGCTAAATGAACAAGAATGTATAAAGGAATTGAAGTAACAAGCTACTACTATTCATAAAACTGCCTTTAAGTGGTAAGTTCAAACAAGAATATTAATAAAGCAACCTGAATAACTTTGTTATCTCTGCAAAAACAAGTAGTAATTATCTTTATAAAATCTTGCTGTTTATTTTTTTTTATAGTAATGCTTAGGCATTCAATTTAATCTTCCATGAAGAAACAAAAGCCTGCAGTCCCAATACAGATTTTCTTTGTATAGAAAATAACAATCATCAGATGATTAAGAAAATATTCTGATGGACTGAGAACTAACTCTTAAGATATTCCAGTTCCAGTGCCATTAACAAACTACCCCTAATGGGTACAACTTTAGAATTAAAAAATAGAACTGAGAAGAATTATATAATGATGTCCTTTTATCTTCTCACTGCAATATTATAAATTGTAAGAACTGGTCTCGGTGAAAACCACCAAAGAATGAACCAGACATGTTTCCACACTCACATTTACATGTTGTGTCCTTTGTAACTTTTCCATTTATTTTTAGTACAAAAAAGAAAAAAAAAGTGAAACAGAGTAAAAATCATAGCAGAAATACTTAAATATGAAAACCACAGTTTTCTGTTTTTTTATGACAAATACTCAAAATTATAAACAATGAAAAGTTAAGAGAATCTTATAAATGCCAGTGAAAATAAAAAAAGATATTCACAGAAATTTACAAATCTTAAAAAGTTATAAGCACCAGAGATTTATCTCTGAACTCTAGTTATGGCGAGCTCAATGTGTTTGTTCAATTCCATGATTATCTTATCCTTTTCTGTATAGACACCAGTGCCAAGTAGGATGTTACGCTCTTCTATCAACCTTTGTAAGTGATGACTCATGGTATCTGCTTTTGATCCACTACTCAATGGATGAATTCCCTGGGAGATGGTAGATACAGACACAGCTGAAGGATATTCTAGGGGTATTGGACTTGGAGATGAATGCTCAAGTGACATTTCAGCATTATCTTTCCTAAATATATATAAATTATGGAAATATAAAAACAACTCATGTAAAAACACTAAGTAATATAAAAAAAGACATTATTTTGAATGCAACATTTTATATTATTGTATAACTTCTCATCACCTGTAACATTTTACCATCCCACTGTCTCTATACAAGAAAACCACAGAAACATAGGACATCTTGAGTATTTGAAGAATAATCCAAACTTTCAGAATACACTTGTGAAAGTGATTTATATGACAATAACTTATCCCAAGATAAGAGAATTGATAGTATTGATGCATCATCTTTTTTCCATACTTGTGGTCAGAGTGGTAAGATTAGGGGACACAAATATAAATTTTGGCAGAATAAAAGTAACCTTCGACTTAAATAGTTTTATTTTTCTAACAGGGTGGTTGGCCTCTCACAAAGGTTACCTTCAGATGGGGTGATGCAGTATATTTAAGGAAGTTTGAAGGAGCTGGCCTAATAAGTATTTGAATGGTAAAGGCTGAATCCGAGTTTTTTTTTTAGTTTAGTTTTGTGGATGAGGTGGCACAGATGGACCAATAGGTCTGTTATTAAATTTTATGTTATGTTAAAATCTTGGTTTTTGCAATAAGTATCAAATATATAGTTTATTAACTGTTCTTTCTGCACAGACAGATCCATACAACTCTTTGATGCTCTTGCGTCATTGATGATCTCATCTGTAACACACGTCGCACATATGACAAATATAATTGATGTGGATCTTGAAAACTTCTGAAACCAATGCTTTATGCACTGTGGAAAAGGAGCAAAGGTATAGTGAGACACTCTGAATATAAATATTTAAATAACAACCTTCACATGCAAAATTACTCTTGAGGGAGACAAATGTTTTAGATTGCAGAATTAACATCAAAACCATAAAATTGTGTGACATAGTCAACATCACTAAGTTAATCAGTACCTTAGCTTTTAAAATCAGCTCATCACAACTGACATACATTCTGTAATCTTGTTGGTTAAATCAAAGATGAATAGTTGATAACAAAAGAATAAAAAGCTTTACAATATACCTTTCTGTAGTGATCTTGTACAGTAGCTGGATACTATGGTAGTGCTTTACCTTGCACTTATCTAACACGGATATACCTTCTTCAAGGTATTTGTAATTTGGGTTTGATGACACCCAATATTTTTGAATGATTTTTAACATGCTCCCAAAATAAAATAAGTTCATTACCATGTGTAGTTTGGGCACTATCACAAAAGCTGCATGTGCCTCAGCTGTTATAAAAATTTGGCTGTTGAAGGGTCATATTCAAAATGTCAGCATATTCTGAACAAAAATTTACCAAGGGCAACGCTAAAAAGAAAACTGAATTGATACACAGTGTCTCAGTGATGAAACAATGGCAACTCCATTAACTCACACACACACACACACACACAACTCTCTGAAATTTTCAAGTGTACTGATAGTCAATATAGAAGGACACGGGGATCTATCGTTAGTAGACAAATGACCATCATTTATTGATGTACAAATCTCCACAAGCTTTGCATCATGCTGTGTAAATTTTTTTACCAGTTATTTAATTTCATGGAGTAAATCAAGAACATCCTTCATTATTTTGCACTTTTTATGTCTCCCCATAGGGAGGAAAAGATACTGTACTTCCTATGTTTAAATTATAGTTGTGCACCACTAATTTACTTCTTGGCCAATCATTTTGAAACTTGAAGGGAATATACCTTGGTTCAATATACTATGATAACTTGTTCATTTTATGGGTCAAACATTACAAAAACAAATTTTGACCCTTATACTTCAAATAATCTAAGTGATATCTTGCAAAAAGATACCTCACAACAACTCCCACAGAATGAAGCACAAAGACTTGAGACCTGTTCTTTTCTTGAAATTTTACAGGGGTCAAAGATCAGAACTTTTTGCAGAATTAGGGTTTTTGACCTATCATTCCTTTATATCTCAACCAATGTAGACGAGACTTTACATAATTGTGACAACCCAATAGACTGAAGCAGAAAGATGTGAGACTTGCACCTTTTTTATTACAGGAGTTAAAGGTGAAAAACTCACAACGTATGTAACAGGGATCTCTCAATAAGTAAACATTTCAAATGATTATTGGTAAGTGTTTTGATTCACACAATGCATGAAATTGAATACTGTGTCAAAGAATAGGTATTATTTGCCCAAGAATTACCTGTAAGGTTTATGCCATTGTGACTAAATCTATTTAGACATAAATTTAGTGGCCAAAACATTGTAAAGTCACAATTTAGTTGCTCCAATACATCTTTTGCACAAAGAAGAGATGTTACAAAGTTTCCTTATTTAGGGTGTGTGCCTTTCTGTTGAATTTAGATGGGTCAAAAAAAAAAAGTAACATATGCAATAAAGAGCTCTGAATCTAGAGACATTGTCTGCTTATGTAAATGTTACAAGGGGTCATTATTAGTAGTGTATTGATTAAAAAAATGTAAGAAACTGCATATACCATGTTGAAGAATAGATCTTTTATGCCCCAAAATTACCTGTACACATTTTTTCATTGTGAATAAGTTTATTTATGCACAAACTGGCTGTCCTATGTACTATAAGATCACGGCTTAGTATGGTACATCTTTCTCACAAAGAAGTCCTAAGTTGATGCTGTGTTAAGAGTTTATCCTCTTGAAGTTGTAGTTTAAATCCTCTTACCCTGCCTTGAGTACCATTCTCTCCTGATATCTATTGTATTTTGAGGATCTTATTTAGCAAGGTGGATGGGGGAAGACATACTACAATTGTTTGTGAATGTTGGCCTTTACTGTTTCATACTATCATCTAGGGTTGTAGTTACGGTGGGTGGAGCTACTTTGCAATTAGCTTGTGAGAAACAAACACTTCCAGAAAAGTCATGAAGCAAATAACAATCATGCCAAAGGAAAAAAAACCTGCATGCAAAACTGAACAAATGGCTCGGACCATGCTAATTCACTTATAATTAGAATGGCATGTCAGACAATATCACCCACAGTGCATACCATACAAAGCCTATTTTTCTTTCCAGTAAAAGTTTATGTGGTGTGTAAAAATATTTTCAAAATTTTATGAATATCTAAAATATAATAGTATATCAATGTGTTTTTTTGCATAAAAACAATTTTTAATCTCATTGTGACTAATTTGTATCAATTAACTGCTCTTAAAGATAGATGAATCAGAAAAATAAAACTCAGCCTGGAGTAAAATTTGTCTCCGTCTATGTTTTTTTGGACTTGTTGTTCATGGGTCAAAGGCCATGTCATTGCGTTTGTAAACTCACATTAAAAATTATACTGAACTACTATTTTATGAATGTATGTCAATAAGTTTTGTATCAAAGTGTAGATTATAATTAAAATTTTAGACATTAATTTCTTAATTTAAAAGTAAATATAAAAAACAATCCTAAATATCAATTTTTGTGTGTCACGTGGTATGTTGAATGCAGCATTTGTTCATATCAAACGTTTGTGATGTCCAAATATAAAGTCTATAGTTTCTTACGAATTAGATACTCAAATTACTGATATTACAAGGTAGAATCTAAGATAAGAAGCTCCTATCCCTTTTCTTCTCAGATATGAATACATTTATTGAAACAAACACCCACCTCTTAATTTTTTTCTTAAATACTTGCTTATGTACACCTACTTTGTCTAATGACGTGTGTATAACAATCATATGCTCAGAATGTCCCCCTTACGGTTTTCTCAGCCTCTGCAAAGTATTTACATGGGAAACTCTTTCTTTGCATGCTAGATTCCAAGTGGTAAGGTAAGACACTTTTGAGCTTGAAAAAAATCATATATTTTTACACCCAAATACAGTTTAGTTACAAGCTTGATAAATTACAGTGGAATTCTGTGGTATTGATATAGTAATTTATGATTTTTTTGTTATTTCAAAATGAATATATAAAATAAAAAAAAATTGTTTTACATCCTCCACGTGCGAAACTTGATAAGGCTTAGCAACTTACAGCAACCAGCAAAGAAGTACAAAGTTCGTAACTAGGAGAGGTAATTGTTCTCTATGCTTCTTTATTCACTGTTCTATGTTTTAAGAAAAACAACTGAAACTTAAAAACTTATTTATAAATAGTAATAATGTATATACATAAATAATGTACTATAACCGAAATTTGACTGTATTTTGCAAAAATACTGGTCGTCCTCTAGAACACAGCCAAGACAGGTCACTTTGTAAAGGCCAGTTTTATATTCTTATATACAGTAACAGAAATGCACATGTGCTGCATAATTGCAACTTCTGTAATGTTAGTCAGGCAGAGCTAAAATGTCAACAAATAAAAATAATAAATATATATATATAGATGTATAATGTTATGAGATTTAAGCTATTTAGAATAAACATTTGTGTTTTCGTGTTATAATTTGTAGTCATTCTAGAAAGAAAAAAGCATAATTTATATTTATTTCCTAATTTTTTATGGTGGTTACATGGTCAGTCAAATTGACCAAACCCATACAGAAATACAACAGTGAAAATAACAGATAAAATATAAAGTGTTTTGTAAAAATAAAATGTTTGATAATTATCTGCAGGTTGTAAAGATTTTGCATGTGAAATTTAAAATTTTCTAAAGCATAAAAGTATTTTTAATCTTAAAATCAAAATTACTTTGCATGTTAGATAGTCAACATTCAAAAAGAAAAAATGCAAGAGAAAAAAAATACTTAAAAAATCTTAAAACTCAATAAAAAAATTGATATTTTGTGTACGAAAGTCTTGTAGTTTTACTGACAATCTACAAAATTTTGTTAAGTTATGCTTACTGTATTAAAAGTCAGAGCATGGAAACTGTAAATAGCACAAAATGGTTACGAGGTCAGTCCCTGTAGTGAAAGAGTTAAAATTACAAACATGAAAATAACAACCTTTTTTTTTTTTTTGACGAGGGGGTGGTAGTAAGATGGCAGCAGCCACAGGCACATGCATCTATGGGCTAGACAGGTTA